ACAACCTCCTTAAAATGTGGAATCCAGAATAGAAACAACGCTACGAAAGATGGCAATCCCTTTTGCTGGGGGCCTGTTTGTTCTCCTGGCAACACTAGGAAGGGGTTTGCCATTCTCTTCTTCCAGAATTCTTTTTTTTACTTCCACTCTATCCTATAGCCCTGGAATGCCTCAGTGCTCTCCCCATTCATCTGACTAGCGAGGGTGCTGTGAAGATGCCCAGCTAGATAGAGCGGGGGTGAATTTCTTCTCTCATCTTGCCCAATGTCTTAATGATATAAATGATCATATAATGGATAAGTATTAACTAATTTGGGATTAATTTGATATTCACTAAGAATGCCACCAAGTGAAGGGGAAATCAGTATGACAATCCAAGACTTTCTGGTGGGGGAAAAGTAGGACTTCTAGCCATCTCACCGCACCACTAGCCTTCTGGTGACTCAATCTCTCATTCTCTGCCCTTGAGTGTTATCAAACTGTGGCATGACCATGCCCCTATAACTACTTCCCCCCCTTCTCCTCATGATAATGCCTTTGTCTCATCCCCAACCCACAACTGAGGCAGTTTAAAGATGTCCTTAGCTGTTCCCATTTTAAAGTAGCATTTCCCTTTTCTCCCCACACAATCTGCATAATGACCAATGTTTTCCATAGTGCTTGCAGGTCTTATACAGGTTCCTTGTAAACTCGGGTTTGCCACTCTTATGAAAGAGCACTAGATCTGTTTTTAAACTCTCTCTTGAGAGAGAGCTCGTTCTTTGTTACACATAAGAGAGCTAGGCTCTTCCACTTCGTCATCAAGTGTTGCTAGTTTTGTTACTAGTAGGTGTAAAATAGGCTTTGCACTGTTGCTACTGGTAAGGGTTATGCAGTACTATATTTTAAATAAATTTTATTACTTCAGTGGGGTGAATGGCATCATACTGCATATTCCTTTCAAGTTTCAATGGCATCACCAGGTATTATCAGCCATGAGATCAAAACTGGGTTTCTTGGTCACTTGGTGCCAGACAGACGATTCTCTTGCAGCACTTGATGAGGACACAGCTAGCTCGTTATTGTCCTGTTTTACTTTTATTCCTCCTTCATGCCTGTTACCTGTCAGCCAGTCTGTTTTGGAACAGGGGTTTAATGCTCCCTCACTCTTGTTATGCTTGTGTTCAGAAATAGTCTGGCTTGTTGGTCACAGGCATGGAGGAGACATTGCACTGCACGGAGGCACTCCCTCTAATTTCACCACACACAGTCCTTCATAACTGCAATGTGTTAATTAGCCAACTTGATAGGTGGTAGACCATCATTCTTTCAGAAGATCACTAGATCCTCGATCAGAAATGGCAAATTGGTTATAAGCACAGATGAGGGATTTGTGATGGGCTGTGAGAGTAACCTTGGGAGACAGGAAGAAGAGCCACAGCCAGGGCCACAGTCTGAAAAAAGATATCACAGCTCACAGAAGGAATGGGGGTGGAGAAGGTGTCACAGAAGGGACCCTCCCTAGTTTTCT